CAGCTCGCCTGACTTTTTGTAATAATCGCCACCTGGCTGACCCAATCAGTCGGTTCGTCAACTTTAGCTATCACTCCCAGACTACAGAGACGTTGCAACTCACTCAAGAATTTTTCGCGCAAAGCAATTGGCACCTTCCTAGCTGGTAACGCCACCGGTGTTGCTAGCTCGTTTAACGATAAGTGAGCGGGTCCCTCGAACATCCCTACTCCGCCATCAAACACACTCGAGTACTTATCAAAAATATCTGCCTCGATGTCACACGCATGAACAAAACGTTCGTGGTTAAAAGAAACAAAACCAAAACGCTGGATAGAATCAATGCCCAGAATGGGCATAAGGTCTTCCGAAACAATCAGGAACTCCAGCGGGTGTTCTGTTCCTTCCTTTGGATTGACCGTCTCCAAAATGACGATGCCCTTCGGTTGTAGCCTTGAGCCGTTCCACATTTTGAGACACTTTTGAGTTTCTTCACATCGCACCCCGTTGCAGTATTTTTCAGGCAAGATGTTAACCGCAGCCCCGGAGTCTAGCTGAAAACGTACCGGTTGTCCTCGAACCAAAAGTGTTGCAAACACACACTTGCTTTTCGCCCGGCCATCCATGTTGTTTATCAACAATTCTTGTTCCCGTTCTCTGGCATCGTCGGCAACCGAACTCACTCTGTATGATCGACAGCAACGAGCAAAGTGACCTTTCTTGGAGCACTTCATGCACGTCCGACCCCACGCTGGACAACTCTCCTTCTTCTTTTGGTGCCTGCGGCCGCAAAACTGGCAATCAGTTACCTGTTCATCGGGTGATCTCGGGATACGTCCCTCGGTTCGGGATACTGCAAACAACTCCGTATTCTTTTCGGCGCGCAGATGTTCGACTTGCTGATCTGTTCTGGCCTCACTGAGGCAGATGTCGACACACTGTTCCAGTGACAAGTTCCTTTGTCGCAGAAATCGGCGTGTGAGTTCATCTTTCCTTATCCCAATAACGATGCGATCCCGTATCAGTGACTCCTTCATGCATTCACAGAAATTGCAAGTTCGTGCCAGGAGCTTCAGTTCTGTGATGTATCTCTCGAACGACTCCCCCGGTAAACGATCGCGTCCAAAAAACAGATATCGTTGGTAGGTCTCGTTCACACGCGCTTCGCAGAACTCGCCAAATGTCCGCATCACTTCGGAAAGATCCGCCTTCTGGTCGCCAAACTTCAGTGTTTCAAGAACCCTCCTTGCATCGTCACCAATAGCGTGCCTAAACATTGCGAGTTGGTAGTTCATCGGCTGGGCGTCCAGCTGAGTCAGTGTTGCGAAATCCGCCCACTTGCTCTTCCAAATCCGCCAACTGTCTGGTAAAGAACTCTCAGTCATCTGCAAAGGGGATGGAAACGGAATCGCCGGTTGACCTCCAAGTACAAGCTGCATCGTGGGCATCGGTTTCTTCTTCTCCTCTGTCACAATGTTATAGGACACGGACACGATCAAAAAGTCACGATGGCGGCGGGCGGAAAACAGGCGTTTATTCAGTATAGGGTAGCCTATTTAAAAGAAATAAACACTGTTAATCTTCGAGCCTTCTCAGTGGGTCTTCTGTTTTTCGGTTCACCTCATTGGTCGCGTTCCCCTTTTATTTCATTGGGTTATGCTATTCCTCTTCGGTCGCTGTCTTCCTGTCTCGCGCAATGATCACATCTTTCGTGCTTGGCATCTGATTGGCCGTATTTCTTTGGACCGCTCATATTCGGCTTTGCACTCTGAAACTTGCCGTTAATAGCGATTCTCGAGTTGCCAGTGCGCCCTCTATGTTCTATTGTCCAATCCGGTTTGTCGGTTTCTGGATACGTGTGCCACTCGTGATTCGCTGTCCAGCCATCGCTGTGTCTCCCGGTGGGTTCACGCGTTCTCTCGATCGAACTGATCTGCTGACTCCGGTAACCTGCGCTTAGGTGGTAAGGTCGAGCATACTGGACCGGTTTCCTAAACCCCGTTACATTTACCACCTCGCTGAAGGGTAGTGAACACTGCAGCCTTCCGTTTAACTCTCCTTTACGACAGTAAAATCTGGCCCACTAGATCAGCGGACATAAGGAGGTTAGTTGCATTCGACCACCGGTACCTTCATAGTTTGGACCGCATCAGGTGGGAACACTGCGTGAGCAATGTACGTGTTCGACGCCTTGTTTGCGGCACAGAAAAATGAAATGTACCGCTCGGAATCGTTATTTTACGTACCAAGCTGTGGTGGCTCGGTCATGTGTTGCACAAGCCAGTCACACGACTTCCGTAATATGTGTCGTTTGCGCGCCCTGGGCGTCTAAGCGCTGACTTGCTCGGGAGCAATGAAGTACTTTACTTCAACATTGGTCTCTGTCGGAGCCTCTTGACTCCCTGGTAGCGGTCCGAAAATGATGAACCCGTTTGCCTGAATACACTTGCGGACATGGCTAAGAGCCGACCTCAGTGGCGTTTGTGTTGTGAGTTTCTTTGTTTCCCTATATCACTTTTATCTTAGCCTCTAACTGTGATTTCCTTTTTGGCATAATACAAAATTTGCAAAATATTTTGTGCTGCCTCATAGTAGCAAACTGCTAAATTTTCCGAAACCGTGATCATCCCTTACTGTTCTCTCAGCTGGCGCTCACCTTCAGTTGTTTATTTTTGTTTTTTCTGTATTCTGCACAGGAGCTGAGGCGTTTTCCACCTCTAGCTATGGTCCACAATGCTAATACTACTAATAGTAATAGTCACTTGGCTCGACAGCGATGCGTACCGTGGAATACATTCCGCCCTTATAGCTCTGTCGACCAATACGGAGCGTATGCAAATCATCATAAAATTGCAGAATTGTTGGTATTCCGAAAACTAACTTGTTAGGGATACGGCCTTAATGTGAACCGGGCTTGTGCTAAGCGGAAGCTGATTGTGCAGTGGATGTACAACCGATGGGGGTCTAAAACGTACAGTACTTGACTGTCAGCAATTTACACCCTGCTGCAATACTGGCAAGCGGTACCTCTTATTTGTTAGTGGCCAGATGTCTCTAATAATTTCAACGGGCGTAGCCCCCTACCAAACTCAACAACCTAGACCGAGGATTGGAGGAGCTAGACAAGCAATTCATCGGTCTTGGTAACACGATGCCAGCCGATTCTGCTCTACTCTAACCACCAATTCTCTAGTCGTTATGGACCATTAGATCGTCTTCGGTAAAGAAACTCGTTAAAGATTATGGTTCGAAGGTTGACTGCAGAGCAATTGGGGATATGCAGTAGCAAACCCTTGTTCCAAAAGTCTGTACCCCGAGGATACTGGACAGCTATCGGTAGACTTGTGCGATCTCTCCTTTGATAAAGATGCTTGACTAGATCAAGAAGAAGGCTTAGCTGTATCTGCTGGAGTCGAGAAACGCTTAGTCCGAGCCGCACGGTTGTATGAAACTCCTAATGAGACCGTTATTCGCCTCTTCTGTCTCATCTTAAGACGCCGGCTATAGTAAGATTCGCCTACCTATTGTCAAAAACTGGAACAGATTCGGTATTTAGCAATCAGAATCTTCCACAGCTTAAGGATTCTGCCGCCCAAATAACTTTTTCGTGTTGATCTCATATTACCCACTGTACCTAATGCCTGAATGACTACACACCTGCGCAAACTAAGCATGACATGCGCGCACCGATAACAGGTTTCCGTATTGGATCTGATGCCGGTAGCCTGTGATTTCTCTCGCCGGCGTCGAGTAGTGAAATAGTAGATCACTTTGCCAGAGAGATTAATAGGGACGCAATCGAGGTCGGATTTGGAAGGCATTTAACATCTGTGCTAAGTAAAATGCTTACAGGAACTAATATCAATCCGCTTGTGTGACAGACAATATACTGATGGAACAACACACCTTTTAATGCTGAATGTTCCGCGTTTGGTATTCAGTCTGACGGCATTCCACACAATTAAAAATACTAATTAACTGTGTGGCAGCAGTGATGGATTCATTAATGAACACGAACATTTGCTGACCTTAGCATCATGTTGTTTCCTTCTAGTGTTTTCAAGGGACGATCGATCGCAGGTAAAAATTTGGGGGACACCTTGATAATTCACAACCAAATGTCATATATTGAAAGATGTGTACGTATTGAGTGATTCAAAAATGATAGCAGAAGACTGGTTTAAAGCAAAGCCAACAAAATGGGTCACATTTTTAATTCACAAATGGAGAAAATCGTCAAGATCATCAGTTCAGCGGGAAAAGGCTCAACACGATTGCTTGCGTCCCTTAACAACTATTCCTATGGACTCTGCCCAATAAAGTGTAGGGGATAGAAAACGAAATTCAAACGCTTAGATTATCTCCACTTAGATGATTCTCAGTTCCAGGTTTGATTGTCGGCACCCAAGCATTATTTGGTAGACAAATCGTGGACTTTCTTAACATTGTAAATGTCAGGTGTATCTGCATTAAGAATACTGTAGAACCAAGTTCACTGTGATGGCGAAATGGTTGCCGTGTTTTAGTAAGCACCAAAAATCTCATCTGGAGATATCCAATTAATACACTGACTTTATAACTTTGTTAATAAACCTTATGGTATGTTCGGCCGAAACATTGAACCGCTCGACATACTACATGTGAACTTCGTTACCATGATTTTTAGTGTGTGGTAGACAGTACCTTTGCTTGGGAGAGCAGCTGAAATTAATAGACGTTTTGTCTGGGGATGGGAATGTTAAGGACAGGATGCGTGTAGAAATAATAGGATTATTTCTCTTGAATTAAATGTTATAAGTTAGCTGAGTCGACCATCAAATTTGAAGCTAAACTAATCCGTGCAACCTGTCTACTAATCTGACACCGTAAGAATACTTACAAATGGAAATTCATGGGACATTTCATTGCATTGGCGGGAAATCTCAATTTAAACAGACCTTGCGCATGTATCTCCGCTTTCAGCTTTTCTCTGACTGTCATATCTAGGTGGTAATACCGATCACATGAAGCAGTTTTATCTGTTTCTATGTACGCCGAATTTCTAATGTTGCATCAAAGTACATGATTTAATGACATTACTAATTGCATTAGAGGAGCGGACGCACAGTTTTATGTTTTTCGTGGGCCTTAGTCCATGGATATCGCCACAATATTCAACGTAGTAAGCTAGTGTGCTTACCATTGTGCTATATCCGTTAGTACAACGCGCCAACCGGTGCTGAACTTCCTCCGCAACCGCTCTTCAAGTAATGCTTTTTTTCTTTCCGTGGATTTTGAAATATATGCAACTTCCTGGATAGAATCCAACACCACTTCTTGCATTTCTTCGGATAAATCGGTTGCAATTACAGTCACCCTGGCGGTCATGTGAAAGCAAACCTTTACCAGCTGCGGCAATTCGCTTACCGCGTGCCGACCAGAGAAGCAACTACGCTGCGCCAATCGCAGACTACGTGGGTGGCGCGGTTTGTTTGAGCCAGCAGCGTGTACGACACGAGGTAATCAATGCGTTAGGTTCAATCGATACACGAGCCTCGGAGAAGGTGGAATAGACGCTCCCGCTTTAGACACGGTAGTCGTGAATGGGAATGACGTTTCCGTTTGCCCAGTGGCTACGTTTGCATCAGACTGACTTTCTAGACGGAGTACGTAAAACTTGCTGCAGCCACCCAGAAGCATCTCCAATATAAGCTGCCTAGGGAAAGGAAATTAATCTGTGTCGATTAAACTCTTATGCGCAGACGTTCTGACGAATAAATTATATGCACATATTTGTTGCGCAGTGGCAATTTCCGTGTTTAATAGTTAGCTAAACCACCCAATCCATTGCCACAGTAACGTACTCGCGCATGCTGTCCATATAAAACTCCGGACTTGAGCATTTTAATTACTGAGAGCAAAATGTCAAACGCTTTGCGTAACTTCACACTGCATGTGCGAAGAAAACTAAATTCTCATTAGTTGCTACGTTGTTGGTTCGCCAGCCACCACTGGAATGTTGGGTTCATCTGCCGCTAGGGTGCAATGGAACTAGTTCACTGAAGTTCATTAAAGCACATTTATGGATTTCGTGAACGGTTTTGCTTTTTCATGTATCTGTATAAATCAGGAAATCGTGACGACGAGAAATCGCGATGACTTTTTTGGATTAGAAGAGACTGACCGATGTACAATGATCCAGAGGCAATTGCAATACCGTTTAAGAATAAAGGTAAAATGCTTAACTTTTTATTCTTACCGACTGTGTCCTTGAAGCAGAATTATCCATGCAAACTTGATCTTACCAAGTGGTTGAAAAGATACGGCGCTTTTGCTATTTTGGTTTAAAAATGTTTCATTTATTTGTAAAGGACAATTTCCACCATTAACATTGCTACACACCTGACGCAAAACCCTACCCGAATTTCCCCATGCCCTTGCTTGTTTTACATTCACATTCGATGCCGGTTACGCTTTACACCATGACACCTATTCCTGTGCGCTCTTTGTTAACCAAACTAACGCCTATTTGCACCAATTCGCCCCATGATTTGTAGTCTACCCTATTGATCATTTTTTCATCACCCTGAATTGACGTCTGTGTTTCGACCCGCTCGCTGTGTTCACTACCGTTTGACTCACTCGCGTTCTCACCAGTGTCTGTTCTAGCTCTGAGACAAACCATGTCTGGATTTGCGGCTTCAAGTCTTTCCCCCATAGACTGAGCCTTTTGTGAATGGGTTATAGACTGCCTGCGTCCTGATTCATTCGGGTCGATGACATTATACCTCCAGTGTGTTTGGCATTAGTTGCATTGTGTTTGAACCAGCAACTTGTTGCTCGTTGCCGTGATGGCTTGTTGTGTACTTAGTTTGTGAGAATATCGTAGTTCAACAACTGTGGCCATTTTGCCGTTACCGGTGAGGTCGCCTCAGCTCCGGTTCTTTGGTTACTCGTTGAATCGATCTTGGACGCCTCAGTTTGGTTGGCAACGCGTCGTTCGACTATTCTCTATGCGTTATTGAGGCTTACATTATTTTTGGTGTTAGGTAACCCATGATCATGAAATTCAGTGAACCAACTCTAGTGATTAAGCATCAAAATGGCCGTAGTTTGTTATTATTGAGATGTGCAACGCACCTTGTGCGAAACCAGAGGTATTTCTGCCCCAAAATGCAGACACTGCCGACGGAATCTGTCGGTTGTACTGCACAATCGGACTAGAATGAGGACGTATCCTAACTTACAATGTTACACAGCAATATTGACCGTTTATGGTCACGACATCGTGGTGTATTGGAAATTTGCAACAAAACCATACCTATGTCTGGAAGCAACGTTCCAAAATCTGCAGCAGTCAGGATTGCGGATGATAGGGATTAAATATAAAATCGTGAAAATCTACGTGCCACTCTTTGGTCACAATGTGGCTGAACTTAGACTGCTGCCGGAGAAAGTTTTGGCAAATCGAGGCACTTATGTTCCGACCTTAAGACACAGTCATCGGGAAATTTTAAGTCATGCAGAATATTACAGTAACTATGTGGGTAATTCCAACAGCTTGCCGCCGACTCTGTATGAGCTGTTAGGAAAAGGAACGAAATTCACTTGGACGGTAGACGCCCATCGGCCATTTAAGAACATTCAGAATGAGATCGGTGTCGCATAAGTCTGTTATTCAGTGACAAACTATTTATTTGACATAACAAGCTCAGCGAAAATCTCAGCATAAATAAGATGTAGAAATCTCGACGTAAATAACTAAGTGATTGCTGTAACTAACGCATTTTCTGCATTCATCCGATTCCTCCTTTAAATCGGTTAGACAAATACGCTCCAGTGTAGCCAAATAAGAACCAATCAGCGTACAGGCGAATATGCGCGTCTTCCAATGCGTAGACATTGAATCACCTGCTCCATTCGGTTGCAACAAGCTAGTCACTTGCTTCGTTATGTAAATCCGCTTCTTTCCTACGATTGTATAACCCCATCACACACATGATGTGGGTCTTGAAGTAGCAAGTAGGTCATTATCTGATCACCTCGTACTTTGCGACATAGTCCGCTGAATACCCCCAATCATTTCAGCTTTTGCTCGTATGAGAGATTGCGCATTCCAATGACGTACTTGGATACCCGGAGTTGAGGCTGCTTCAGTGCGTTAAACTCGTAATTCAGCAGTGGATTCCAGCCTTTAATGGTGTATTCGACTTGGGGGCGAACATGCATACTAAGCGTTTGTCTTAGCGCCCGTCTCAACAACCCGACATATGGGTTAACCGCTTTGAGAACTTTCTGAATTCGTTGGAGCAACTCAATTCATTCTTTACTAGCACACTCAAACCAAGATCAACGACAGCTCGCTGCAGCACTTTGGTTCCGAGACTGTGTGAGTGGTTGATCTGGTCTCGTATGGAGTGTGGTAACTAACGCTGCAATGCAGTACATTTGGATTGACAACCGGTGCAGTGAACAATAAGCAATGATTTATTCAGGGGTACAAAAGCAGGTGCTTGACGTCTCCCCAAGGGCGTTTAGAGTGTGAAAAGGTAGCTCAAGGTATAACGGAATAGTCGGTTCGGGCCATTACAGCTTTAACTGCGCTGCCGTATAAAGAGTTTGCAATTATAATGTACACACACAAAGCCATAAGGGGAGTGGCTATTGATAATGTAATAGGCGAGAAAAAAATAGAAATAATAGCAAGGACAACGGTTACTCGTGTGCAGCTATCTTGGGTCGACGGGATACAGAAATCCAGTTTCTATAGTAGTAGCGTTTATCAAATTTTGTGCGAGAGGTTTGGATTGACTCATTCTCGAGTAGGGTTATGGCACTATCCCCTGTCAGTTGTGCATTAGTGCCAGCAGCTGGTGGTCATGGAATATGGCACGTATTTTAAATCTGACAGAGTTCCGTCAAGGCGTTTTTTGAAAACGGATAGGGTGGGAGCATTAATTACATGTTCCGGGAGGGCGTACCGAGGCTCTGACTCTCGAAGGGAGAAATAGTTTCGCCGACATTCCAGGGGGCTGTATTGCGTGACCAGCTTATACTGATGACCTATTGGCGGGGTGTTTTGACTGAGTATTAGAAGGGTATGGCATGGGTGGTTGGGGTTTCTCTGGATCAGGTACACCATTATGAGATCGCCCCTTAGACGCCGATAAAGTCCAATGTATATTTTGAGAGTCTTCAGCCTGAGTGGGTAGGGGAGTCTGGTCAAATTAGTGACACGCTTCGTTGCCCTATGTTGTGCTTATGGTGCTTGAGCCAGGGTTGCCACGCTTAAATAGCGTATTCCGCGTGCGGCCTCACGTACGCACTAAGATTTTTGGGACGAATGAAGGGTCAAACTTCCCGAAAGCTCTGCGAATAAGGCCGAGGTACTGGTTTGCTTTCTTAGCTGCCTTTTCAGTCTGCCGCTAACAACCGAGGTCATCTTGAACTATCACGCCGAGATCGCACTCGTGAGAAGCCCGCTGTAGAATTTGTGGTCCTAGGCGGTACTTGTACATACTCTTGTGCCGTATGCTGAGAACTTTGCACTTGGTGACGTTGAAATGCAGCATGCTCTCGATGCACGATGTGTACGCTTTGTCCAGGTCCTCCTGTAACACTGTGTGATCCTCCACTGCAGCTGTAGTACGCCATAGCTTTAGAGCATCAGCAAATAACAACCAGTTAGAAGATAGTACGCCCGCGAGATCATTTATGAAAACCAGGAACAGACGGGGTCCAAGTACCGAGCCTTGAGGTACTCCGCACTGAACTTCGATGGATTCCGACAGGTTGCTTCTAACCCTCACATTCATGTGACGTTGAACGAGAAACTCTCCTATCCAGCCAAAGCAGGATCGGCGATTCCATATTTCTGGAATTTGCAGAGGAGAATGCAATGGTCTGTACGGCCGAATGCCTTTGAGAAATTCAAGTAGGCTGCGTCGACTCCTACACCAGCGTCCACAGATTCCGTCCAGCTTGCACAAGCAATCAACAGGTTAGTGGTACAGGAGCGATTTTGGCGAAATCCATGTTGCTCCGGAACGAGAATTTTGTTGTTCTCCAGGTACCCCATCAAAGCCCCAGCTAAAATGGACTCCATAACCTTGGAGATCACAGGAAGGAGTGTTATCGGGCGATAATTTCCTGCTTCAGCACGACTGCCACGTTTGTAGATTGGCGTGATGATTCCGTGCTTCCACATCGTGGGGACGTGCATCTCTTTCATACATTGTTGAAAGAAAATTGCTACTGGTCCAGCCAAACTCATGGCAGCAACTTTCAACACCTTCGGGCGAATGCCATCCGCACCCAGGGGGCAGAACTCGCGCAGAGACATCAGCCTCTTCAGTACAGCTGCGGAGGTGAACCATATGTGATTAAGC